GTCGTGGAGTCGTCCTCCCAGGGCGTGTGTCCTCGGTACTCTGCAGCCAATCAGTGAACTCATGCAATTTAATTGGCTACGTTTCATGAGTCGAGCTCGGTGTCAGAACGAATTAAACTCGTTAACCGTGGTTCCACTATACTCCTAAGAGCCACACAGAAACACTAAGTGAAACCTTCCCACATAAAAAGGCCCTGTTCAGTGGGGTCGTGATGCTGAAACGTACTTAAAATTTTTAGATGTGAGTCCGACCATGCGACTGACTCGCCTGCGGCTAGCCCTAGGCTTTATCCAAACTTCAAAAGATTTTAGATGCCAGCAAAAAGCCTTTTTGAAATAAATGTCCGACTAAATATCGTTTGTTGTAGTCTTTGTGTGTGTGAAAGCTGACATCAGAAATTCCAATTGCAGGGCAGGAAATAATTCTAGCATAGTCGCTGTCAATGGTGAAGTGAAACAGGCTGTTAGTAGAAAGCGTTATAAACAACTTACGTAGACATGCAATGAGATGTTGGAGTTGATGAAGACGCTATCATTCCGATAACACGAAGCAATAAGGTTTGCTTTGCATCCAGAATTTTTCTCCAGTCCTAACATCCATGCATAAAGCTATACTGATGCTGACGCTTATAAGGCCTGTTTCACGCTCTACATGTCGCAAAAACGCGCCGGTCGCTTATACAATGCCGAGGAAACTATTTAGGCACTTAATGATGACCGACTTTCAGCATACACCTTAGAAACCTCTTAGTCGTACGATTAACATACGCAAGATGAAGTTTCTGACTACGTATCTTGGCATAAAACAACCACTGTTTATCAGTGATCAATCCAGAGAAAAAATTTGATGCTTCCTCTGTTTGTGCTCGAATATACTAGGCGACGGACAGGCCAAAGAAGAAAGCAGGCACCGAATCGCATAGGCTCGAAATGCACCTAGACTGCTAGCTAGAACACTCTGATCTCGTTCAGACACCAGCTTGCGTACTAAGCGGTTGATATACAGAGCATCTATCAGACAAGTGTTAGCATATGCTTGGGAAACATGGCCAGTCACAAACAGACATTCTATCGCTCAGTCTTCGACGTATCTTAAGAGTCTCCTGACATGATCAACTTTCCAATGTTGAGCTGTATCGCAGGTGTATCCAACTACCAGGCCCAGCATCATACCTTTAGCATCGTCGATTGCAATGGCTTGGACATTTTCTGCGCGAGCCATCGGCAGACCTCTACAGAATGGTTGTGAGGCCCTCTTGTAGTTCAAACTGGAGCTACTGACATGGCGGTCAACTGAAGACGTGGCTCAGGTTTGCCAAGTCAGACTTCGGAAGCATGGGTCTCGTAACTGTTTACGGCTTGTGACACTGGAGCACGCGCTGAATTAATATTTGCGAAGAGCTTGCTTCCGACCGCCGCCAATGGGCACCCGCTATCCGTGATATTCGTGAAGCCGATTCATCCAGCAACACGAGCTAATCGAATCAAGTACAAGTATACACCGTAGACAGTTCTACCACTTTTCCCTCACTAGGGTAATTACGTACTTCTTAGCATTCTCTGGCAGGTCTCATTTCTGGCGTGTGGGGGCGTGAGTTTACAGTTCTACATCCCTCCACGCACAAGGCCACGCCAACGGCTTCCTCCTTTCTCTTGCATTCCGTTTTAGCAGCAGGCGTCGGTGTGGGGCAGTGCGCGCGATGTACACACGCGATGCCTGACTAATTAAAGATGCTCGTGATTCGTTGCGTGCACTAACAGCAGCGCGCACACATACTGACCAGTGAGTTGAATTTCTCTATGTACGCGCCTCCCAGACGTGGCAGGGACACTATTCAGGACGTATTTCTGCGTGCCACTATGTCCCCCCACACCGTCTTGGAAGTCGGTTGCATTACACGACTGATAATTTTGGGGTCTATAGACTGTATGTCACAAGACCTTCGCAAACGACGAGCCGTTTTTGATGCTACCGTTTAGTTTCTGCCCATTTCTGTCGCCAAGAAACACTGAAACCTTGGCTCGTAAGATGGCAGTGGTGTGATGCGATGTATTAACAGATGGATTGCCAGTTCAGGCGAAAATGCGAATCCCAGAAAGTAATCAAGAAGAAGTAGATGTGATCGGTGGTATAATGCTGTTACATGCCTGTCGTTTTGAATTTCGTCATAGATGCATCATCAGAAATAATAGCAGGAACGAGCAATGAATACACAAGGAGTTGCAGTATATATAGTATGCAGTCATTAGGCATACTTATGACTATTAACGGCTCCCGCTTAGGCCCGCTTAGGCGCAAATTGCTTGATGGCCGGCGTGCGGGTCTTGGCCTGCGTGATGATTACTTGGACATTTGGATACCTGGCGCCGACGTTAAATGATGCGTTGGCCTGTGCGTTTCTGGAATGGCGAATTGCTTTGAATTAACTAGGTCTCAGTACCGAATATGGATTTGGCAGGTCGTTGCATTTGATTATAGGCTGGCGGCCCGTAAACCATGACTCAGGTACCTCAGGACTCACGCCATTATCACCCCTCGCGAGAATTTCAGCCTCACTAAATTCGATTGTGGGACCAGTTCTCGTCGAATGAGTCGCAACTTGAGAATTGACGCCATTCCGCACTGCTGCCGCGTGTTCGCCAATTCACGTCTTGAGAAATCTTCCAATTTCTGGGACGTGATTGTTTTATCCGCAAGTGCACCAGATCCTATAGACGAATCCAGATATTTCTTGCCGTGGCAGGGTTTTTTTGGTCTGACGGAGGGATTATCTAATGCTATTCCTGCATTCGAAAACGGACTTCTTTATCTTTCCGACGGGCAAATTGCCTCAGAGTTCTAGTACTGTGCCGGAAGACTGTAGGCACAGCATAATCGAATAGCGGGCAAAATTCATGACATCGTACTTCTTGTGACGTCTTCATGATACGCTATTATTCAGATCAGCTTTTGGTCATGCCTCTCTCGATGGTCTGTTACTGTATATCCTTTGGACTTCGGATTCTGCGCTTTACTGTCGTACAGCGAACCGTCAGGTAGGCCACCATGCATGCTCCGTCCTCCGTTATATATTTTGACCTTAATTAATTTGCGTGTAAGACCCAGACGTTTCGGATTTTCGTTCGAATCCATTGTCAGAGACAGCTGCAGGTAAGGGTAGAGAGAGCGCCAGGAGTGCTGTATTTATTGGATACAGTTGCCATACAGCCACGTGCCTAATGCAATTAGTAGATCCTGCATTCTCTGTTGGTGGTCGTACATTATGTGATGCTTGCTCGGTAGTCTGC